TTATTGTGTATCAATGATGGTTTTGTCATCTACCCAAGCTAGCCTGTTATACATCTTCTCAGATGCTCAGTCTGTGTTTTATATCTGATCCTCGATGGTCAATTTGAGCGCTTGTACTTCATTGGCAAAAATCCGAAATCAGAGCGCAAATCAAATAACGTGTACAATTTTAGACAAACATTATTTGTTTACAAAACGCCTGGAGCGAATTCAGGGATGTTTTTTTCGGTAAAAAGAGCGACAGGGTTGGCGGCATTTTAACTAGTCTCGACCATCTATTTATATATGGATCTGTCATTGGATGAGGTATTTCATTGACGGTCACATTCTCAAACAGCTATGTTCAATCAGTTTAGACTAACTGCTAAAAATGGTGCCGAAAGATCTAGAGATTCTTTCTAGAAGCCCTCAACCCTTAATTTTCAGTAACGAAGCACCTCGCAACACATGGAGATTTTTTTTGTACAAACAAAACATTTGTAATGCTTCTAATTTTTTCAAAGATTGCTTGAAAAGATAAATAAACAGTTAGGTGATCGATTGCCCGTTACCCGAAGTATCCGGCCGAGACAACTGTTTTCAGTAATCAAGTTTATGTATTATTTAATCTTCTTTTGTTTCAAAATAGAAAGAGTGTTGAATTAAGCAAGTTGCTTAATGACCTCAGGACATCTTTGCCTCAGGAGCAAGCAGGAAAAAGTAGTCAAATTTGGAAATGTCAGAGTTGTTTTCAAAACGGCCGAGCACGTTGTCAATATAAGTCGTTCTCTCGACAAGCTAATTAGCTAAATACTTAAAACATATGTGAAGATATATTTTTACTCATTATGGTCTTGCAGAACAAATTAACAGATAAAAGGATAAGTGGTATTGGTAGACGAAGGCCGCGAGCTACTGAAATGGCTGAGGGGTGCGAGATTGGTGTGATCGCGACAAATAGTCTGCGCCCTTGAAAATTGGGTGCGTCATATTAAGTTTGAGAGCAGGAAATTGAATGTCGCTGTAAAGCTGTTGATCTACGCACCTCCTGGGCCAACGTCTGTAGTTATCAGTGTGTAGCGCTAAAAGCTCCTGTAGCGTGAGAGAAAGAGAAACAATTTTTTTCTTCATATCTCTTCTGTCATTGGGAATAAAAAGTACAACAGTGAACTACAATATTTTTAAGTCAATCAGTACTTGTGGTACATAATAATATTTGAAAGCTCTTTTTAAAATGACATTTTTTTGAGATCAGGCACAGGGGGGAGGGGTTCACAGGTGGGAGGGGTGACAGGCTGACTTTGACATTCTTGTGGTGGGAGGCAGAGGTTGTTGTGGCAACAACTCAGACATGAGGTATTATCATGCCAAAAAGCTCCCAAGATCAAAATATCAACTCTCTACAATATCTCCTTAATACAATTTTTAGCTCTGAGAATTTAGTGCATTAAGTCAAACAATTTCACTCTTTTTATTTCACCCACTTCAACATTGTAGCAAGAAATTCCCTTAAAGTCACCCCTGGGATTGGAAGCATGGTGTGTTAGAGGTGCCCTGGTTGAGATATTAATTCCACTACAAACAACTAGTACAGTAAACTTGTTGTGGTAATTCAGGGTATTTGATCTATCTAGTTCTCATTCATGAGCCTTTAAGGCAGCTCTCAGCTACAGCAGACTGGCGAAGGTAAGGGTAAAAGGTAAAGGTACCCTCATTGAATCGCTCTGACGAAGGGCTAACGCTCGAAACGTCAGCTTTTTTACCCTTTACGATGGCTAATTTACGTTTTCAACCCAGTTGTTAACACTAAATTACCTGGTAAAGGTAAGGTAGGTAAAGTCTATTCAAGCTTAAGGCCCATGCAGTTGGAGCTTATCTCAGTTTGAATGGTTACCCTCTAGCATTTCATCAGGCTTCCCTGATAATTCACCAGCACCCAGTTATACTCCTGGTTGGAGAGAGGTACTGAGAGTAAAGCGTTTTGTCCAAGAACACAACACAATGAACTGGCCAGGTCTTGGATCCAGACCTCTCAACCCAGGGTCCAGTGCACCAACTAAATTAGGCCACAATGTTCCACAATGAACAGCAGTAGAATCATTAAAATATGAAAAAGTGAGGAGGGAAGGAAAGAAAACTGAAATCCAAAGGAGAGAGTCCTGTTGATGAAATCCTAGTCTGGTGCATGCATACTCACCTTCAAAATAAACACAAATAGAAGAATTCTGTTCAGCCTTTATTTGCAATTTAAACATTTCCATCTCAACATTTTATTGAATGTCACCATTTTACTAACTCAGTTTCTGGTCTCTTTAGCCAAACATCGTTACAGTTGCCACATAACGCAAGAAGGAAGCGTTGCGTGATGATTCAGCCGTGAGTTGCGCGACTGCGTGGTTTCTACTCAGTATCCGGAGGACAGTTCGCAAGCTCAGCTTCATTCACATCATAATCTTTCATTGCTCTTTCCAGAAAGAACCAATGTCCTAGAATTCCAACGTCGATCATACGTTTAGGGAATGTCTTCCATCTTGGCTGTACATATTCACAATGTTTTTCGTACAAATCACAGCCAGGTCCAAACTCAGTCACATACACGAGAGACAAAAATCCAAAAGTCTGTATTTGCAACCTTTCCTGATTGCGGTATTTCAGAATATTCTGCACGTAACTGTCCGAATTTGGATTCCTTATCAAATGGCTGATCTGCAACAGTTCATTGGAGCATTCTAGCACAGCATCTTCATAAGAATTCACATCTGGGTTCTGTTCGTAAATGTAGTAAAGTCCTCCTAGCGATGCTAAGGTGCAAGCTGAACGGAAGGGTTTTGCCTTCATATTCTGGTACAGTTCTTTAAATACCAGCTTGTAATCTATGAAGACATTGTAAGCTGATCTGCCGAGTTTTCTTTGCTTTAAATTTTCAAACTGCGGTAAAAACATGTTGTTTATACGGTTTACGTTTCGAAACGCACTCCTCAATCGGGCCGCCATCTTGTTTACCCCGCGCCGAAGACGCATGATTCTTCGAACACAACAGCTGACCTGTTATAGACTCACACAATTTTCACGTGGTTTTAACTGCATACGGACCACAACAAGTTGAATTAAGAAACTTTCCTCCTTCAGAAATTAGACATGGTGCGTATTTACATTTTTTTCCCTGCTTAGAACTTTATGCTACAATTCACAACTCTCGCTATTCACTACGATCGAGTTAATACTCCGATTTTGCTGAGTTCTGCTGTAGGTTTGCAAACGTGTCACTATGTTTTATTTTAACCAATAGCCAAAGGAAGGAAAAGCCAAGTTGCATTGCAAGAAAGTTGTACATCCAAACTCTAGAAAAGCTACAAAGTTATGAGGCAAGCACACAGAGATGAGAAACTTCAAAGGTGCGATGAATATTTAAGTTTCTGTTGTCGTTTCAAGTTCCCAATCCAGTTTGAATTTAATTTTTGGAAAGATTTCCTTGTAACTCCATATATACTATTCTGGGATAAAATCTTAATCTCGTAGGTAATCCATTTTTCGCCATTATTTGCCTTTATCAAAGAACTGATTCACTTTGTATCGCAGTCATCTCATATACAAAACTGAAACAGAGAAAAACATTGCTAAAACTGGATTGAAAATATTGTGTAAACCTGAGTATAAATGCAAACTAACCGCATTCAGCATTTTTGAGAAAAGTCGACGGAAAAAAGGGAACAAGTGCACTTGACAGTCTCAAAAGGTAATCTGGATATCTGATAATCGATGAATTTGAATAAGTCCAAAAAATAGGCAAATCCATCAAACCTGCTATGCCTCGTTCTTACCTTGACATTTTCATAGATTACCCTGAAATCCAGAGGTTTAGGAACTGTAACCTGAAAGCTACGCACAATACCTTTCGGGGTTGTTATGAGCACTTTTATACTTTTTTTTTTCCAACAACCTTTTTCAAAATAGCTGTATAGTGTCCAAAAGTTGTTTCCAAACATCTGCAGCCGATTTTCAGAAGTCCTTTCCACCAATCACTTTTCTTGTTGCCATTTGATTGTATTTAGGAAGAAGACTGAGAGGAACTATCATCTTCAAATAAAAGGTACAGTTCTGAGATGCTAAACTGAAAATTCTACACTGCTTTTATCTGATTATAGACTAAAATCCAACACCAGGCATTTTATTGTACCAGTTCCAGTAAGGTTATCATCATGAGAGTGGTAACCTTATTCAACCATTGACTTCTGTAAGCATGCTGGCCATGCCAATTCACCTAATCAATTTTGTTGGTTGGTTTTTAAAAAAGATGTGTAACATCCAGATTAATGAATTTTGTAGAGAACTAAGGCAATGGGTGCACTTGGCGAATGCTTACTTATTCAACCACTGATATATTCAACATGTCAGATATGAGTGGTTTCATATGAAGATTGTGATCATTGGCAGAAATTTCCCACTGGGAGGACACAAAGATGATTTTTATCATTCCAGCAGTAAGAGTGAAAATGGAGTAGTGTATTGTCTGCTTCAGATCTATGGCAGAGCAGTCTGGAAACTTTGTCAAAGTCCCCATTCTCCAGTTTTGCCTTTTTAAAGCTTATCCTTTATTTTTTTTCAGTTGGAGAAAAGTTCAGATGGTTTTTCGAGAACATAAATCATGATAAAACAGAGTATTCGAGTTCTGAAGTGTGTGAACTCATTGAGAGGTGGGTTACTGTCTTACAAGTGCATTACTTTATTCATACCTGATTCGTGATTTTGGCAAGAAAGTATTTCACAGGGTTTTATTCTTTGTAATTTCATTACTTAGAAAATGTGAAAAAAGGGCTGTGAATTTTGCAATTCAAACATTTGTAACTTTACCTTATTTTTCAAAATGTGTAAGCTTTTGATGCCTGCACAAAATTTGTACAAATCTAAAGATTAAAATAAAGATGATAGCTAGATTCTCTACTATGTAACTATGTGAAATGTTTTCAGATGAATGTCATTTCACAATAGAAGATACAAAATAGAACTTATCCGTAGACGGATTAATAATTTTTTGATACATATACCGTATATTTTGTCGATATTATATACTGAATTTTCTACAGGGAATTAAATTTTGCAGGTCTTCAATTTTGCTTAGATGAGCACCTGCTATCTGCTGGCCAGACTAGCTGAAATGTTTATTTTAAGAATGAAAATAATGAAGATTGCTTTTGTTGTTTAGCATGCACAATCAAGATAAAAATATGTTGTAAAGAACTGTAAAACTCTGAATTTTCTTGAATGCTCCACCATTCACAAATCTCACACATCCAACCCAATGACCTGACTCATAGCAATGAAACATTCTCATAAATATTTTCTAGGTATTTACATCGCTTTGACAAAGAGCTTCAAGAAATCAATGAACAGAACAGTATAAAAGGCAGACAAGGCCGAGCTCATGCATCAAGAGAGGACACACTGAGAAATGTTATTGAACGGGAAAGGGAGCTATACAACACTTGTGGAATAGGTAGGTTAATAGTTTTGGATGCTATTTTTGGGCATTCTGGACAATTGATTTATCACATGCCGTATTTATTTGGCTATAGGCTGAGCAATTTTTACACAAATTAACGCTAATATTTGGTAAAATCTGAGCTATAGAAGGGGTTCGGATTATAGCCGAGATTTTTCTTTAAAACAAAACTTTTTCGACTTACCGGTAATTAATTATTGGTTAGCACTTTGCAATTGCGTGTGTTTCTGGATAGGTCAATCTTGTTTTCTTATATTTTTCGATCCTTCTAAATATTCATGACAATCAGTGTGTTTCTTTGGTGAAGTCTCTGTCTTTCATGAACATTGTGTTCTAAGGTAGGTCTTGGCTTATAGCTGAATGTTTTGGTTAAGTTTTTTGTGATGATGCCGCTGAGTTTACAAATTGGAAGTTTGGGGTCTTGGCTTATAGCCAGGTAAATACAGTATTACCTAATTTGCTCTCCTGCACCCCACCTGCAATGATCACAGAAGGCAAATGTGGATCAAAAACTTACAGAATCATTGCACAGATATGATTTATTGATTGATACTTTAAGCCTTGTGGTTAAAACTGAGGGACTCAATTACTGCTCTGTCTCAACATTCTGAAGGGATAATTTTTGAAAACAGTTTCAACAAAATGTACAAAGAATTACTTGTCTCAGACTTTCTTCTTCTCCTTTATGTTTTCCAATTTCAAGCAACGCAATTTATTTTCCTGTCTCAGTCTTAATTGCGTACAATTTATGTTATCCTATTTCTAACGATGAAATTTTCGTTCTTTTTCTTCTGCACACAGAGCTTCCAGACCTAACATCTGCAAAAGTGTTGGCACAATTTGGGTGAGTAAAATGTCTTGATTTGCTCTCTTTAACCCTTTCACTCCCAAGATCTAATTAGTAATTCTCCTTACTATCTGCCACACAATTCTTATGATTTTAGTTCAGAGAATTTGGTACTGGATCAACTAATAATCCCATAATTGATTTTCTTCTCTATTCTCATCACCTGCCTGCTTGATATTGTATTGATATTGTAAGGAGAAATTCTGTCTTGGTCACTTGTGGGAGTGAAAGGGTTAAGCAAGAAAATACATCTGAGTTACTGTAAGTATGTCTCAGACCAGGATCAAACGCAGTTAAAGCATGCTGCAGAGTGTTGTGGACATTTTGGCAAATTACAGGGGATTGTGAGCTGAAGAATTGGGAGAACAGACAGAAAGAGACAAAAAAAATCTTTGAAGAATTATGCTTGGAAAATTCTGCAACAATAATAATAACTGTAACTTACATTCACCTTTTAAACCCTAAGAGTGACCAGCATCCAAATTCTCCTGGCAGCAATACAGCTGAATCATTCATTAAGATCATGAGATTGCTAACCTAAGATGCTTTGATTGTAATACAAATTCTCCTTGTCCAGACCAAAGTAAACATATAGAAAAGATTGTGGAGAATATGGGTACTGATCGATGATAGGGTGTAAAGGGTTAACTTAATTTGAGCAGCAATATCAAGCTCTTCCTTAGTTCACTGTTAATACACAGACACATGGAGTAACTAGGAAAAAAATTGGTTAACCCTTTGACTCCCAGAAGTGATTAACATGCAACTTCTCCTGATAATATCCAGTGTTCTCCAGAGGTGCCGGCGATTGGCTTTTTTGCCAGCTACTCGTGTCTCAAGCACTGGCTACTTTTGTCAGACAAAACCACAGAAAATTATTCTCTTTTTTTTTGTAAGATAACTTTGAGTGTGGCTTGAATTTGTGCTCTATTTGGAAGTGCTGGCTACTTGACAATTTTAGCTGACTACTTCAAAATCTGTGGAGAACACTGAATATCCATACTTTATACAGAAAACAGGCAATGAGAATACTCAGACTTATCGGGTGGAAGTTGTCATTTGATCTAACACAGAATTCTCATCTCTGATCTACTAGGAAAAGTGTAGCAGCTAGAGAGGAGAATTAACAATCAGATCTTGGGAGTTAAAGGGTTAAACAGTTTGCTATTTACAAAGCATAGTTGCAAATTGAACTCAAAACTTCTTCAGAGTGAAGATTTTTAACTTGGTACCTCCAGATTTCAAATCCTGCACCTTGCCACCATTGCATCTCTTCTAAAAAGGGTTTTTTCACTCTTTGCAAAGTAAATGGTTAACTGTTCTAGGCTAAATCGGCCAATTTTTTTTTTTGGCAAAAATGTATCAAAAATGATGATTTTTTGCTGTGTTTAGTTGGAATATGAGTATTTTAATCTTGCGTTTTCTCTTAGAAACTTTAATTTATTTTAATTTGTTTTTTAGAGATTGGAACTGCGATGTGGCCAGCCTCAAGCTTATCAGGATGCGAAAATTCAAATCTTTAGCTCTTGAGAAGAAACAGGAGAGAAACGACAATGAAACAGATGAAAACCCTAAAGACGGAAACATTAAAACTTAAAATGGAATGTAGGGTATTGGCATTCTGAGGTTGATCATTTGCAAAACGGGTTTGACCTTAAAAAAAGCCTCGAGTTGTTGTGTGGCGCAATGGTGGCCCAACTTCTGCGAAGTCTCAGGTCATGAAATGAGCTTCTTGTGAGTCTCTGTGAGCGGAGGATGGTTGAGTGTCAAAAGCAAGAGGCTGGGCAAGAGTTTGATATAATCTTAACAATGACATTATTACTCAAAGGTTACATGGTACTCTGGATAACATTGAGAATCATGAAAAACTACAAATATGCTGGGATTTTTACTCTGATCCACGACAGAATCGTAAAGCACTTCTGGCCTCGAAGGGTCTATCGGTGGAGGCACCTTTATGTCTTGCTTCCCTGTACAGTACTTTCCTACCAGGACTCGGGCAAGATACATGTGGCGGCCAGCATCACCATTCCCAGTGTAATGAAGAGAGTAACTGGCGTCCCTGGCAAAGTATACACCCTGTCCGTATTTTGTTCCTGGAAAAAAGTAGAAGATTATAAAGCAAATCGTATAGCAATCGTTGGCGGGTGTATTTGCAATAATTCTTATCCGGGGTGTAATGACCTCTGGGGGCAGTGTGACCGAGTAGTCAGGGCGCTGGGGCTTGTAATCTGGTGGTCTCAGGTTCAAGCCCTCCACCCTGTTACTCACTGGATTTGTTTTCGTTTTCCCCGATTGAATTCCTTTGCTGCGCTTTGTGTAGAGCCAACTGGTCTGCCTCATGTCAGTTGGGATTCTTAAACACTTTGTTTACAATGTCTGTTCCAATTTGCTTGTATTTTCAATTTGTTTGTATTTTCAATTTGTTTGTATTAACCCTGGAAAGTCCCGTTGCGGAATGGTTAATTAAGTGTACATTACATTACTACATATGCAACTTTGAACGACTTTTTTTCCCGTTTTTTTTTTCTCACTAAAGGCGACATTTATAGGCCTCTTCGTAAGATTGTTACGGCGTTTCCACGAGTAAAAATTCTCTTTAGTTAATTAGCGCATGTTAACTCAAGGGTACGTCCTCACCATAGGCTTTCAAATTGGAATACTTACCGTGGACTCCACAGAAGCTTCGGTTGAACCCCTGTGCGTTGATATGGCTGACGTTTATAGCATTCGTCCCATGAAACAGTTGTCGTTCGCTATTTCCTCCACAGTCCGGCTCAATTTTCTGTTTCCTCGCCATGTAAGCTTGCCACAGATGAGGATTTTGCACTCGTTCAATCTTCTGAATACTCAATCCTTTAGCGGTCGCATCAATCATGTGCTTGACATTTTTGTATTCAGAAGAGTCTGGTAACAGCACCTCTGTGTGCACAATCATATCAGGTCGGGGCATTGGTTTCCAGTGCGTTGGTAGGGGAAATCCTAGGGAACAAGAAGGCCTGACTTAGAGGTGCATGAAAGATTAAAGTGAGCAAGAATGTTTCCTTTATTTGTACCTCAGCGACATTGACGAGAGCCTGGTCTCCTTTTAAAGACTTGATTACTATTTCTTTTGGTACCGTAAAATTATTTGTCTTTTTGTCACACAGAGGAGGGTAATAGTGATTGGTTTCGTCACTTCAACGAAAGGAATCATCTTAGCAGCTATTACTGTACGATTACTCGTAAGAAAACAGTGACAAGCTAACCTTTTATCTTTCTCGTCAGAGTTATCTGATCTCCTGACTGTTGTCCGCGTCCAATATTTTTCTTCAAATCTATGAGGAATTGCTCTCCTGACAGAGATATCTTTATTTCTGACTTGCCTTTATTATGCGCCGTTTCAATCATTGCGTTTGATCTCTGATTGAAAACCATTTTAATGCCTTTTATTTCGTAGCCCCATTCCACACTTTTTGATATCAGATGCGCTTGCTCTTGGTCCTGTTTTTTCTTTTTAATCTTTTCCAACTCTTTCATGATCTCCACGACCATCTTGTTCACCTCTGTAGATTCACCCTGAACTAAGATACGAGTAGCGGTATCTTCGACTTTAAGTTTCAAGTCACGGGCATCGGCTTTTCTTCTCAGAGTCTCAATCTTCTTATGGGAGAGTTGACTAACCACGTCGCTTTCCACCTTTTCTGTTGTCAAAGCCCTGGAGAAACTTTTCTTCAGGAATTCAATAGCATCTGTGACGTTTGGCTCTTTGCCCGCGACACAAATATCTACACAGTTAAGCACGTTGACTTTAAAGCGACCATCTAATGCGATGCACTGGGTTACGACTTTCTTTGAATTATGCTGAAATTGCTGAAATGCCTGCATCATTTGGACTTGAAAGATAATAATCCTTACTGTGTGGACAGAGTTAAAACTACCGCAGAAGTTGTTAAGAGCTCGGTATATCACGTTAGCGGATTCTGTAGCAGACATTTGGAATCCACCAGTCCCAACTGCGGGGATGGAAACGGAGCCAAGACCATGTGTTTCTGCAAGTCGAAAACAACTTTCCAGGCACTGCTGGAGGTGGCTTTCATTTGCTGAGTCGGATATAAGGTGTATAATGTGACGTGATGGTAGCTTTCCACTAGCGGTCATCACCGCTGACCCACA